ATTTGTCTTTCTTAGTCTTATTTCATTTAGCATCATAATACCCTCTAGGTCCATGTTGTCCCAAATGGCACAATCTCATCCTTTTTATGGCTGTGTAATATTCCTGTGTGTGTGTGTGCATGTGTGTGCATGTGTGTGTGTGTGTGTGTCTATACACCACATCCTAATGAAGGCATTTTTTAAAGACTTTAAAATGTTTTAAATAATGTGATGTAAACATCTAATGCAAGCACCACCATCTGCAAAGTATTAGTAACAGCTTTTGTAATAAAATACCTAGTATGTATCGGATACTGAAAGAACATAAAAATGAATAAAATGTGTCCCTCTATAGTGACCCTTATAATCTAGAGCAATGAACAGCTTCTTTTTAGACACTAAATTCCATAAGAACAAGCATCAGGTCTGTTTCATTTACCACGATATCTGCAGAATGTAACAGAGTGCCTGATACATAGTAGGTGCTCAGGATTTGTAGAGTTAATGAATTAGTGGAAGAATGCATTGGAGCAAACAAGCATCCCTTAAAAAGAGTATCCTTTTTAAGTTAATGAGCAGTCCTGTTATTCACTAGTCATTTAAAATAGTTCTCCTACCCTCCTAGTTTAATTTTCACTGCTCCCTACAATGAATGAATATTGGTTGTTAATAGTATATAGGATTCAATTATTTTGTTGATGTGAAATAATGACATCTCTACAGACCTGCAGTTTTTCCTGTTTTCCTCCAGATGGAGCTCCTTTATACTTTTTTGTTTTGTTTTGTTTTGTTTTGTTTTTTTTAAAGAAAACTTCGGATGGCATGGCCACTTAACATTTCTACATGTGATTTTTCAGATTGCCATCGCTGTTTTTTTCCATACATCATGCTTTATATTTCTCTGCATAAATTTCATAAATAATCATTCTTTGTTAGAAAGAGTTAAAGATATAAATATCATTTATTTGATTCCTTATTTTATATTAATGCAGGGGAAATCATAAAATAATGAGAAAAGAGAAAGGTACTATGAAATCAGGGAAGGAGAAAAATTAGATTATTTGTGAACTCAATGAGAAGAAACATCAGATCAGTCTTATTTACCAGGATAATAACTTTAAGTTCGCTTCTAGCTTCACAAATTTTATTTTAAACAGTGTTGTCCTTCTTAAGTTTCTTTGTTGATTCCGTTGCCCTGCTGTGTATAAATGTGGCATTTGTTTGGATGTTCATCACAACTGGCAGGTGCCTGCATCGTCAGAATTTTCATATCTAATAGTGGACATTGTATGAACTCTCTGAGGATTAGGATTCTTTTTGACAGCCCTTACCCTGGCAGTCCAATAATTAAGAGCTTGGGGGGGAGATTTTTGATGAACCAGAATAATGTTTAAAAAATTTTTTTTTAAATATAAAGAAAAACAGTAGCAATCTCCTTATGGGTACACCTTTATATATTTTAATAGTAAGATGGACAAATTAGGCCCTCCACTTTGAACTGGAAGATATGTGCAAACGTTGTATGACAGTGATATAAAATCAGACAGTGCCATCAAAAGACATGAGTTATTACCCATTTACAAGTAAGTATTTGTAACTCAGTTTGGTTAATCTTTTTCAGGTATTTCCTTAAAGGCTTTATATAATTGAATACTATAAACTTATACATTCCTATATTTTAAAAAAATCTTATTTTAATCATTTATAAGCCAAGAAGTGCTTAATAATCTTATAGGATTTAAAACACTTTGATGTTAGATGAACATTTCTGTTCTAAATAAAGCTGTTTTTAGCATACATTTATTTCTATTAAATTTTAACTTGTAGAGGGGTGAAATAGCAGTCACCTTCAATGATTGTTGTCTTTATGAAGCTTTCTTTTAGGAGTGTATATATATATTTTTAAAGATTTATTTATTTGAGAGAGAGAGAGCACGGGGCAAAAGGGGCAGAGGAAGAGGGAGAGAGAATCCCACGCAGACCCCATCCTTGCATGGAGCCTGACGCGGTTCTTGATTCCACGACCCCAAGATCACAACCTGAGCTGAAATCAAGAGTCGGATGCTTAACTGACTGCACCACCCAGGCGCCCCTTAGGAGTAATATGTTTAAAAAGAAGAGTGTAGGGGATATTATGCCATACATATGTAATATTGCTGTATTATTTTTTAGTTAAGAAGATGATTAATTATTATAAAAAGGCAGAAAACAGAGATTTTAGAAAACATTCAATCCAGGGATTCTCAGTCTTTTGGTTAAATTGCTACAAATTCCACATAAAACGGGGAAAGGATAAGATACTGCCAAGGACACTCTCCTCTCTGTACTGGCCCAAAAAGCTGAAAAGAGAGGTGAGTGGCAGTGACAGTCACCTTGGAACTCTTCCACAGAAGTCTTCAGGGTTTTCTAGATTGGGCTCCAAACCAAGTCTACCTCTCTGATTAAAATGATGAAATTTGAATCAAGATAAATTACTTAATTAAAGTTGAAAAATATATTATTAAACAGTTCACTTAGTTAACTTTTAAAACAACTCCTACTACAGCATTGTCTTACCACATATGAAAAGAAGGATTAATTTAGCTAAATATAAGATAAAAATGGGAGAAGTCTTTAAAATATTAGCAGCACCTGTGCATTATTTTTAAGTAGTTAGTGATAAATCATAGAAGGAAGAATTTGTGCCCTGAGCCATTTTTCTTAGTGCTGTTGTTCTCTATTCCCTCTGAAACATATTTCAAAGAAACACTGATTAGCAGTAAGGTAGAGTAAAATTAAACCTTCTTTTGTTGTTTTTGACCTAGAACAAGCAGATTGCAGATACAGAATAAGGGTGGCGCTTTTCAAAATCTGAACAGGAGCAAAAATGTGTTGACCATGTGAGAATGGGACAACATGTTTTAAGTACTAATCAAGACTGTTCTTCCGAATCTCTTAAGAATGGTTCTTGACATTCAGATTCCACCTCTTAAAATTGTTACTAAAAGTACATGATAGATACTTAGTAATGATCGTTACTGTTGCCAATCTTATTTTTCTCTAAGTTTTATTTTCTAATTATTTGAATAACTTCATTGATACGGTGAGGTTATGTGTGTATATCCATAGGTGTGTTTGTATTATCCGTGTATCTCATGTACATGTTAAATGAAAGTGAAAGGATTTCTAACAAGGCTTTGTTCTAGAGCCAAAAAATAAAAAAAATGTGTCCTTCCTATTCCTCTTAACAACGACTCTTACTGGAGGAACCGCCATTGTTTGGCAATGATTTTTTAGAGATTGAATTCCTAAAAAGGTACGTAGCAATTCGACAACATCCCTAGGGGGGTGATTAAGAGTTGAGTGGAGTATACCTCATGGTTAGACTGTCAGTGGCCATTTGAAGAGGGCCAGGGTAACCCATTCATGCACCAAGGTGATTGTTGTCAAAGTTTAGAAAAAATTTAAAGTAACTATTCAAAGCAGCCTCTCTCTGAACAACAGACAGCATTGCATATTGAATATAATAAGATTTGTAATATGACCCACCTAATTTCAAATACTGTGGCCTTGTAATAGATTTTCAGCTTACTTAATTTCTCTAATATGATTTTCTTCTTCAACTTCAAAATGGGAATAATATCTTCTTAGATTCCTGTGAAGATTAAACCAAGTGAAGTATGTGTAGTACCTGGCATCATATTTGACATTTGAAAAATAGTAAATGTAGTTAATGTAGTTATCACCTGCATATATTTTGGAGGTAGCTTTTTAGAATTTTCAGACTTTCCAACTTTGCTTTATAAGGAGGAAGAATTTCAGCCATAGTTTAAAAACTTACAATCTAAAGGAATTTTAAAAAGTATTCTGCTTATTCATATAACACAATATTGCGTATCTCTGAAATGAAAAGATTTGACTAAATCTCTAAAGAGGGGGAGGGAACTAGCTCTTTATTCACCATATGACCCTCAGTTCCGCAACATACTAGATGTCACCTTGGTTTAGTTACTTAACCACTCTTTGCCTCAGTTGCCTCATTCTAAAATGGAGTTATTAATACTACTTAATCCATTGGATTATTATGAGGATTAAGTAAGTTTATATATGAAAGCAATTAGAAATCTATACCAAATGTAGTAATAAGCACCATTTTGTAAATGTTAACTAGGAACAGTAACAATAGCCATAATAGTAGTAATATCATCATCATCATCATCAACTATTCTGAATGTTTATATAAATTGCAATTGGTATCCATAACTTCCTCTAAGATAACTGATGATAGTCATATTTTAGAAATGGGGACACTTGGATACAGTTTGGCCACTACCTGCACATTAGTCAGTAGCAGTTGGGATTTGAATCCAGAATCATCTGAATCCCAAATCCTGTGCTTTTACCATTGTACCATCATTCAGCCCTCTAAGCTTTCTTTGATTCCTGAAGTTTCATAAGGGGAATTAAGTGATGATCCAACCAGAACAATTCTACTGATAGCAGATAGCCCAGGCTGTATAGTTGGTGAGATCAAGTCTTAAAAGGGAAGATTATATTAACTCATTTATTTTAGTTGCTATTTCCAAAAACAGGCTTTCATAAATTGAAAATTATTGAAGTGGTTAGCTAATGTTTTTTGTTTGTTTGTTTCTAACCGTATCTCATAATGTATAACATATTATTTAACAGTTATTCATAGGCATTTAACAAAACACCTATTTTGAGGGAATTATAGATTTAAACTTTTAAAAACCTGAAGCCTTTCAGAATTATTAACTTAAAATTTCATGTAAAGCATATATTTTCTTTTCATTGATTTTATTTACCATCAGGTTATTGTTAGTAAATGCAAAATGCTTTGGTTTATCCTTAGTTTAACTACTGTTGTTTTCAGATTTAAAATAATTATTTGGATTTTACTCTTTTGAATTCACCTTTCTGCAGCTTCAAATTATGATTCTAATCATGTAAATAAGCAATATAAGAAATAAATGATTACTATTCAATACCTTTTCATTATGCCATCTCTTTCTCTCTTCTAGAACTAACATCAAACCTCGAAATTCCACACCACCTAGTTTGGCACGAAATCCTTCCTCAGGTGTGCTTACAAACAAAAGAAAAACATATACTGAGAGCTACATAGCCAGGTATGTTTAGCTCTGAGATTCTAATAACTAAAATAAAAATAATGTATATAGTCTTCTAAGGACCAAATGCAAAAATATTTATCAGGCTTATTAATAGAAAATCTGATTTTTCCTTTGCTATATGATTTATTTTGGCTTTAAGCTGTACACTAAATAGTTTGGGCATAAATAATATTTTTCTAGACCTTGTAGTTATTATTGTTGTAAATGCTCAAGGACTGTTCAGTTTCACTGCATTCATTTGTGTTTTATATCTTAATTTTAAGTGCAACATGATTATTTTTACCTCTGCAAATTGAGTAATAGACCCTTTAAACTGGTATTGTAATTTTCAGCAGCATTTAAATATATTTAAATTCCCTGCTGAGCTTGTGATTATCCGTGTACTTCCCTTTCTTATCTGTCACAGTATTTGTACAACTTTGACATTCACTCTGTTTTTAAGTATAAAACAAATCATTCTAGTTATAGATCTTACATATATCTTTATTCCAGAAAGTATAAGGCAATATACAGAGATCCACGACATACAGTGAGATACAATATTTTATAAAAATGAAAGAATAGGAAAAGAAAAAATGAGAATTAAAAGATAAAGGAAAAAAAGGGATGAAGTTAGTGCACAAAATATGTGTAGTCCACAAAATACGTGTGATAAGACACTGTCTATAGGCTAGCCTTTGGCCATAAATTGGATCCAAACTTTGTAGTGGCCAGAGTATGGGAGAAGATAGGAGTAGTTAGTTACATGATTCGTGTTGTATTAAAAAAAAAAAAAAATCATTGTGAAAGCACACCTAGTCCTGAGACCTCAAAAATCTGCCTATGAGTTCTCATAGTCACTGGATAATTTATTACTATTTTTTAAATTTTATTTTATTTACTTTCAATTAATTAACATATAGTGCATTATTAGTTTCAGAGGTAGAGTTCAGTGATTCATCAGTTGCATATAACACCCAGTGCTCATCACATCCTGTGCCCTCCCTAATGTCCATCACCCGGTTACTCCATCCTCCTACCCACCTCCCCTCCAGCAACCCTCAGTTTGTTTCCTTTGATTGAGTCTCTTATTGTTTGTCTCCCTCTCTGATTTCATCTTGTTTTATTTTTCCCTCTCTTCTTCTATAATCCTCTGTTTTGTTTCTTAAATTCCACATAGGAGTGAGATCATATAATTGTCTCTCTCTCATTGACTTATTTCACTTAGCATAATACCCTCTAGTTCCATCCACATCATTGCAAATAGCAAGATTTCATTTTTTGATGGCTGAGTAATATTCCAGTTGTGTGTGTGTGTGTGTGTGTACACCACATCTTCTTTATCCATTCACCTGTTGATGGACATCTGGGCTCTTTCCATAGTATGGCTATTGTGGACATTGCTGCTATAAACATTGGGGTGCATGTACCCCTTCAGATCCCTACATTTGTATCTTTGGGGTAAATACCTAGCAGTGCAATTGCTGGGTCATAGGGTAGCTCTATTTTCAGCTTTTTGAGGAACCTCCATACTGTTTTCCAGAGGGGTTGCACCAGCTTGCATTCCCACCAACAGTGTAGGAGGGTTCCCCTTTCTCCACATCCCCGCCAACATCTGTCGTTTCCTAACTTGTTAATTTTAGCCATCCTGACCAGTGTGAGGTGATATATCATTGTGGTTTTGATTTGGATTTCCCTGATGCTGAGTGATGTGGAGCACTTTTTCATGTGTCTGTTAGCCATTTGTATGTCTTCTTTGGAGAAATGTCTGTTCATGTCGTCTGCCCATTTCTTGATTGGATTATTTGTTCTTTGGGTGTTGAGTTTGATAAGTTCTTTATAGATTTTGGATACTAGCCCTTTATCTGATATGTCATTTGCAAATATCTTCTCCCATTCTGTTGGATGTCTTTTGGTTTTGTCGACTGTTTCCTTTGCTGTGCAAAATCTTTTTATCTTGATGACGTCCCAATAGTTCATTTTTGCCTTTGTTTCTCTTGCCTTCGGAGATGTGTCTAGTAAGAAGTTGCTATGGCTGAGATCAGAGAGGTTGCTGCCTGTGTTGTCCTCTAGGATTTTAATGGATTCCTGTCTCACATTTAGGTCTTTTATCCATTTTAGTCTTTCATCCATTTTGAGTCTACTTTTGTGTATGGTGTAAGGAAATGGTCCAGACTCATTCTTCTGCATGTGGCTGTCCAATTTTCCCAACACCATTTGTTGAAGAGACTGTCTTTTTTCCATTGGATATTGTTTCCTGCTTTGTCGAAGATTAGTTGACCATAGAGTTGAGGGTCCATTTCTGGG